AAAATAACAGCTAGCTCCTGGATTTACTGACTTTTTGAAGGGTTTTTTGTGTCTCTATCTCCTTCTGTTCTGCTTTGATCTTAGTTATTTCTTACCTTCTGCTATCTTTTGAATTTGTTTGATATTGCTCCTCAAGTTCTTTTAATCGTGTTGTTAGGATATGTATTTTATATCTTTCCTCACTTCTCTTGTGGGCATTTAGTGCTATAAATTTCCCTCTACACACTGCTTTAAAGGTGTCCCAGACATTCTGGTACATTGTGTCTTCATTCTCATTGGTTTCAAAGAACATCTTTATTTCTGCCTTCATTTCATTATTTATCAAGTAGTCACTCAGGAGCAGGTTATTCAGTTTCCATGTAGTTGTGTAGTTTTGGGTTAGTTTCTTAATCCCAAGTTCTAATTTGATTGCACTGTGGTCTCAGAGACTGATATGATTTCCGTTCTTTTGCATTTGTGGAGGAATGTTTTACTTCCAATTACATGGTCAATTTTAGAATAAGTGGGATGTGGTGCTGAGAAGAATGTATATTCTGTAGTTTTGGGGTGGAGAGTTCTGTAGATTTCTATTAGGTCTGCTTGGTCCAGATCTGAGTTCAAGTCCTGGATATCCTTGTTAATTTTCTGTCTCATTGATCTGTCTAGTATTAATAGTAGGGTGTTAAAGTCTCCCTCTATTATTGTGTGGGAGTCTAAGTCTCTTTGTAGGTCATTAAGAACTTGCTTTATGTATCTGGGTGCTCCTGTATTGGGTGCATATATATTTAGGATAGTTAGTTCTTCTTGTTGTATTAATCCCTTTACCATTATGTAATGCCCTTCTTTGTCTCTTTTGATCTTTGTTGGTTTTAAGTCTGTTTTATCTGAGACTAGGATTGCAACCCTTGCTTTTTTTTTGCTCTCCATTTGCTTAGCAAATCTTCCATCATCCCTTTATTTTAAGCCTATGTGTTTTTGCATGTTAGATGAATTTCCTGAATACAGCACACTGATGGGTCTTGACTTTTTTTTTTTTTTTAGGTTGTGCATATCAGTACTTTATTCTTTTTTATTGCTGGGAAATACTTTTGTATGGATATAATACAATTTATCTATTCTCTTGGTCATGAACCTTTGCATTGTTTCCAGGTTTGGCTCAATTAATGTTTTCATTTCTCAACAGTTAATACCTAATTACTAGTTCATAGGGTAGACGTATGTTTAACTTCATAAGGAACTACCAAATATTTTTCCAAAGTGGCTCTTCCACTTTATACTCTCCCCAGCAATGTATGTGAGGTCCATTGTTCCATGTCCTCACCCATATTTGGTATTGTTAGTCTTTTAAATTTTAACCATTTTTCTACATCTGACAAAACACATTGCAATTTTAATTTGCCTTTTCCTGATGATGTATGACTATCTTTTTTTGGTTAATTGATCCTTTACGTATTCTCTTTTGTGAGACATCAGTTCAAACCTTTTGCTTATTTTTTGTTTGTTTTCTTTCTTTCTTTTTTTTTTTTAATTTTATTTTAGGTTTTGGGGTACATGTGAAGAACTTCTTATCCTATTTTCCAGTCTGTGTCTTTTGATTGGGGCATTTAGCCCATTTACATTTAAGGTTAATATTGTAATGTGTGAATTTGATCCTGCCATTTTGATGCTAACTGGTTGTTCTGCCCATTAGTTGATGAAGTTTGTTCAGTGTTAATAGTCTTTACAGTTTGGTATGTTTTGCAGTGGCTCGTACTGGTTGTTCCTTTCCATGTTTAGTGCTTCCTTCAGGAGCTCTTGAAAGGCAGGCCTGGTAGTGACAAAATCTCTCAACAGCTGCTTGTCTGTAAAGGATTTTATTTCTCCTTCGCTATGAAGCTTAGTTTGGCTGGAAATTCTGGGTTGAAAATTCTTTTCTTTTAGGATTTTGAAACTTGACCCCCACTCTCTTATGGCTTGCAGGGTTTCTGCCGAGAGATCTGCTGTGAGTCTGATGGGCTTCCCTTTGTGGTTAACCCTCTTAGCATTTTTTCCTTCATTTCAACACTGGTGAATCTGACAATTATGTGCCTTGGGGTTGGTCTTCTCGAGGAATACCTTTGTGGTGTTCTCTGTATTTCCTGTATTTGAATGTTGGCCTGCCTTGCTAAGTTGAGAGAATGCTCCTGGATAACATCCTGAAGAGTGTTTTCCAACTTCGTTTTATTCTCCCTGTCACATTCAGGTACACCAATCAAACACAGATTTGGTCTTTTCATATAATCCCATATTTCTTGGAGGCTTTGTTCATTTCTTTTAATTTTTTTACTCTAATCTTGCCTTCTCACCTTATTTCATTGAGTTGATCTTCAATCTCTGATATCCTTTCTTCTGCTTGATCGATTCAGCTATTGAAACTTGTGTATGCTTCTTGAAGTTCTCATGCTGTGTTTTTCAGCTCCATCAAGTCGTTTATGTTCTTCTCTACACTGGTGATTCTGGTTAGCATTTCATCTAACCTTTTTTCGAGGTTCTCAGTTTCCTTACATTGGGTTAGAACATGCTCCATTAGCTCAGAGAAGTTTTTTACTACCCACCTTCTGAGGCTTGCTTCTGTCAATTCATCAAATTCATTCTCTATCCAGTTTTGTTCTCTTGGTGGTGAGGAGTTGTGATCCCTTGGAGGAGAAGAGGCATTCTGTTTTTTGGCAATTTCAGACTTTTTTTGGCTGGTTTCTTCTCAACTTTGTGGATTTATCTACCTTTGGTCTTTAAAGTTGGTGACTTTTGGATGGGGCCTCTGAGTGGACTTCCTTTCTGTTGATGTTGAAGCCACTTCTTTCTGTTTGTTAGTTTTCCTTCTAATAGTCAGGCCCCTTTGCTGCAGGTCTGCTGCAGTTTGCTGGAGGTCCACTCCACACTCTGTTTGCCTGGGAATCACCCATAGGGGCTGCAGAACAGCAAAGACTGCTGCCTCTTCCTTCCTTTCGTAGCTTCGTCCCAAAGGGTACCTGCCAGATGTCAGCCAGAGCTCTCCTGTATGATGTGCCTCCCAGTTAGGATACATAGGGGGTCAGGGAGCCACTTGAGGAGGCTAGTCCCTTAACAGAGCTCAAGCACTGTGCTGGGAGATCCACTGCTCCCTTCAGGGCTGCCAGGCAGGGATGTTTAAGTATGCTGAAGTGGAACCCACAACAGCCCCATTTCCCAGGTGTTCTGTCCCAGGAAGGTGGAGGCTTTGTAAGTCCCTGACAGGCTGCTGTCTTTTTTTTCAGAGATGCCCTGCCCAGCAAGAAGGGAATCTACTTCACAGTCTGCCTACAGAGGCCTTGATGAGCTGCCGTGCTGGGCTCCGCCCAGTTGCTGTGTAAACTTCCTGATGGCAGTGGCTTTGTTTACACAGGCAATGTTGAAACCATCTACTGAGCCTCAGCAATGGTGGACGCCCCTCCTCCACCAAGCTCGAATATCCCAGGTTGAGCTCCGACTGCTGCTATACTGGCTATGAGAATCTCAAGCCAGCGGATCTTAGCTTGCAGGTCTTCGTGGGGGTGGAACCTGCCGAGCCAGCTCACTTGGCTCCCTGGCTTCAGCCCCCTTTCTCAGGGGATTAAGTGGTTCTCACTGTTGTTCCAGGTGCCACTCGACTAAAACAGCTGCCTTAGTTTTGTGCTAGAAACGTGGGGCGCTGGCATTGTAGGTGCGGGAGGGAATCTCCTGGTCTACGGGCTGTGTAGACTGTGGGAAAAGCACAGTATCTCAGCTGGAGTGCTGGAGTGTCCGGAAAAGTATCTAATGGCTTCACTTGGCTGGGAGAGAGAGTTCTCTGGCCCCTTGCGCCTCCCGGGTGAGGTGATGCCCCACCCTGCCTCAGCTTGCCCACCTTGGGCTGTTCCCACTGTCAAACCAGTCCTAATGAGATGAACCTGGTACCTCAGTTGGAAATGTGAAGATCACTTGTCTTCTGTTGTGCTCTTGCTGGGAACTGCAGACCTGAGCTGTTCCTATTCAGAAATTTTGGCAGAAGTCCACATGCACTTTTTGTGAAGGCTATATTCTTTGTCACATATTTTCTTTAAAGTCTCTGCTCCTTTTGCTTGTGTTCAGTTATTGTTTTGACAGAGATTGCTTTATGCAATAGAACATAGAGAGAGGAGGAGAGAGAGAGAATTCCATCTTTTCAGATGGACTCTGTGCTAAGAAACTCCTTCAATGCTTAGCCAGGCCATTTATAACTGCCTTAGCTTTTACTTCCTGCTTGTACTGCATTTAGAGGTCAGCCAGATGTGAAAGCTGAGGGCCTTCTCAGGTCTTTTCTAAGAACGTGTCTGGGCCCCAGTCATGCATCTGGCTTTCCAAATTTCCTAGCATATATGAGTATTATTTTAATGCCCTGATTTTTCAAATGAACTCTCTGTAGCTTTTCCTATTTTTACAACTTTTCTATGAGTTAGAATTTATTTCAAAATAAAATTTAAAATAAAAAAGCATAGATTTTGAGGCCAAAAAGTTCTGGGTTCAAACCCAAGCTCTACAACTTGCTTACTGTGTGATCGTATACAAGTTACTTTCATTAAGCCTCAGTGTTCTTACCTGCAGGATGAAGATTATAATACCTACTTTACATAATTGTGTTTTAGGAGTAATGTGTAATTGGCACATAGTGGTTACATAACAAATGATAACTAATGTTGTTATTCATGATACTGAGCTTGTGTTTAGTGAAAAGCCATCCTAGTACTAGATTTGTCACAGACCCAAAGATTGCTAATAACTTAAAAATACAATAAATCTGAATTCAAATTCTCTTATCATGCTAAGTAATAAAAAAAGCACTGTGATTGACTTGGACCTCAGAATCTTTATAAACTGAAGGCAAACTAGGAATATAGGTTTAGAGATGCAATTCGAATGTTTTCCTGAGAAATCTCTATTGTTATAAGAAAGTTCCCCTCAATATCATGGAAACTAATTTATATTGGGAAATCTAAAGCAAAATAATTGATAATACTGGAGGACACTGTCATTGAAAAGATCTAGCATACCTTAAGATTAAGTGCATTTCTTCCATATACTTGACAGTTTACTATGGCCAGGTTGGTCATGGCTGTTATTGTTTCATACCGTGTTGCTGCAACAGTCTTAAAACCTTCACCACGTACAACATGTACCTCTGATTCTATTTTTTTAGTACTGGTGGGACCTAAATGAACAAAACAAAATATAAAATTTAAATGTGTTATCACTTAGAATGATAGTTAAGAGGTATTTATCTTATGATAATATTGAGTTACCCTAAAAGCTTAGGTGCACACATCCTCTGGCGGTGATTCCCAATAGCCTTCATCTACCCAAACTCAGTTAGTTGTTTGCCAAATAGGGTGTTGTTTTATTTTGTAATTTTAGATGTACCATTATCTTCCCCAAAGAAAATCATATGTTCATAGATTTCTACCTAGATAATTTAGAGTGCATCAATATCTGTCTTTTTATACTGTGTAAAAATATTTTCTTAAAATTTACTATGAATTACATAAAGAACTTCTTGGCTCACAAAATTAATAAGCGACATCATGTAAGAATATCTCAACAAGACATCAACCTCACTTTTTCCTTAATATCACTTTGATGTATAATTCAAATGCCCTCTGTAATTAAACTCTTCCTTTAGTTTGTAGCTCCCCCATAGGAAATAAATAAACAAATATCTCAGGAGTAAGCCAAACAAAGACCATCTAAATTTAAATTTACTTTATTATGACCCTATGGGTTTCACCTTCCATCAAAAATGTCCACTGGAAGTATACACCAAAGTGTGGCAGGAAAGTATTTCAAAATTTTATGTAACATATTTTATTCCCTGCCATTATTGCTGCATTGCTTGCAGAAACATATTTTGTAATGTCAGTAATTCTTATGCTACTGCTTCAATAAGGGGAAATAATGCATCCTAGAACAAACAAAACAAAAAAATTTTTAATTTCTAAAATAGAATCTCTGTGCCCATTTCAGATCAAGAGATGTGAAAGCTGACCACAGAAGAAAGAAAGATATATAACGTAATATAGAGATTCCTTGGCTTGGGAGAAAGCATGGAGCAAGAAGGAAAAGAAAGTGGGTTAAGACATAAGTCTGTGGCCTGTTCGCTGCTCTCAGCCCAAGCAGTTGGTTGTTGAGTAGAAATGAGGAAGATGGAAGTGAAGAGGAGGCGATCTCTCAAGAATCTGAGAATCCTTGAATTTTCTAAGTAGGAAACCAACAGAGAAGAAACTCAATAAAGCAAAAATGGCAGCATGACATGGAAGAGACCCAGAAGTTAATTTACATCACAGACAAGGATACAAAAGTTCTGGGAGGAATGGAGGGCTGTTGTTGGAGTGTTCTGCTATGTACAATCTCTTATGAAATGCAGCTATTTGAATTATTAATTTGTTATATTATTTTTATTGTTCTAGAATTTTATTTTACTCATTTTTAAAAACAAAAATACCAGTTTTGTGGTGAAATTCTCCAATGATCTGTTTATTTTCTTGGACATAGTAATCATAGTCCTTTTTAAATCCATTTGAAACTCTAATATCTGAATCAAATATAGGGCTATTTCTATTGCCTTTCTTTCTACTGTTTTTCAGATATTTTGTTTTTTTTAGAATGCTTTGTAATTTTTTTAATTTAATGCTGGACTTTGAGTATGAACTATTTTAACAAGTCTGGATAATGCACTCTCTCTTGCTCTCTCTCTCTCTCTCTGGCTCTCTCACTCTCTCAGCATGTGTTAGGTTTTCCTTGATTAGGCAGAGAACACCATTATCAAAGATTGATTTGAGCTTTGTTAGGGCTTGGCTATTTTGGTTTTGTCCTCTTTCCTAGAACATCCTCTTTATTCCTAAGGCATGGAATTTCAATTCCAATGTGTTTATAAAAGCCCCAACACTTTGTCAGAGCTTGAACTCTACTATCCACCCCTTGTGCAACCACAAAACTCTATGATCAATTTCTTATCTCTCAGCTGATGTTTTCTGCTGTGTTTCTTGGAGTCTTGTTCTACACAAGCACAGCTTAGAAATCAGCTAGCACCCTTGAGGGAGTCTGTGTGCAGATTTCTTTCCAGGAGATTGTGATATAGTTTGGATGTTGTCTTCTGTAAATCTCATGTTGAAATGTAATCCCCAATGTTGAATGTGGGTCCTGGAGGGAGGTGTTTGGGTCATGCAGGCAGATCTCTTATGGCTTGGTGCTGTCCTTGTGATAGTGAGTGTAATTCTCATTAGATCTTGTTTAAAAGTACGTGGCAGGCCGGATGTAGTGGCTCACACCTGTAATCCCAGCACTTTTGGGAGGCCAAGAAGGGTGGATCACTTGATGTCAGGAGTTCGAGACCAACCTGGTCAACATGGTGAAACCCTGTCTCTATGAAAAATACAAAAATTAGCTGGGCGTGGTGGTGCATGCCTGCAATCCAAGTTACTCAGGAGGCTGAGGCAGGAGAATCATTTGAACCTGGGAGGCGGAGATTGCAGTGAGCTGAGATTGTGCTACTGCACTCCGGCCTGGGCAACAGAGCAAGATTCCATCTCAAAAAAAAAAAAGAAAAAAAAAATGTGTGGCACCTCTCCTTCAATCTCTTGCTTCTGCTTTTGCAACATGATATACCTGCTCTGGTTTCGTTTCATCTTCTGCCATGAATAAAAGCTCATTGAGGCCTCCCCAAAAGCCAAGTGCATGCAACGACTACGCTTGTATAGCCTTCAGAACTGTAAACAAATTAAACCTCTTTTCTCTATAAATTACTCAGTCTTGAGTTTGTTTTTTTTTGTTTGTTTGTTTGTTTTGTAGCAATGCAAGAACAAACCAACACACAAAATTAATACTGAAAAGGGGGCATTGCTATAAAGATACATGAAAATGTGGAAGCCACTTTGGAACTAGGTAATAGGCAGAAGCTGGAAGAGTTTCTAGGACTCAGAAGACAGGATGATGAGGGAAAGTTTGGAACTTCTCAGAGACTGGGTAAACAGCATGACCAAAATGCTGATACTTATATTGACAGTAAAGTCCAGGCTGCCAAGGTCTCATATTGAAATGAGGAACTTATTTGAAACTGAAGCAAAAGTCATCCATGTTACACCTTGGCAAACAGCTTGGCTAAATTCTATTCATGCCCTAATGATCTGTGGAAGTCTGAATGTCAAAGTGATGACTTAGGGTATCTGATAGAAGAAATTTCTAGGCAGCAAAGCATTCAAGATTTAGCCTGGCTGCTTCTAACAGCCTATGCTCATATGTGGGAGCAAAGTAATGGCAAAGTTGAAATTTATATTCAAAAGGGAAGCAGATTGTAAAAGTCTGGAAAATTTGCAGTCTGGCCATGTAGCAGGGAAAGAAAAAGCTTTGGGAGAGAAATTCAAGCAGGCTATAGAGTAACCACTTGCTAGAGAGATCAGCATAACTAAAAAAGGATCTAAGTACGAATAGTCAAGAAAATGGGAAGAAGGCCTCAAAGACATTTCAGAGACCTTTGGGGCAGCCCCTCCCATCACAGGCCCAGAGGACCAAGAGGAGTGAATAGTTTTAGGGGCCAGGGCCAGGACACTACTGCCCTGTGCCACCTGAGGGTGCTGCTCCTTGCATCCTGACCATTCTGACTCCAGCCTCAGCTCAAAGCGCTCTAGACACTGCTTAGGCTGCTGCTTTGGAGTCTGCAAGATGTAAGCCTTGGTGACTTCCACATGGTGTTAAGCCTCAAAACCTGCAGAATGCAAGAGTGAAGGAGGTTTGACAGCCTGCACCTACATTTCAGAGGATGTATGAGAAAGCCTGGGAGCTCAGGTAGAAACCTGTCACAGTCGTGGAACATTCACCAAGAACCTCCATCAGGGCAGTACAGAGAAGAAATGTGGGGTTGGACCCCCCACACAAATGGAGCTGTGGGAAGTGGGCTGCCACCCTTCAGACCTCAGGATGGTAGCTCCCCATGTAGCTTAAATCCTGAGGCTGGAAAAGCCACAGGCACTCAATTCCAACCCATGAGAGCAGCTACAGGAGCTGTATCCTGCAAAGCCACATGGGTGGAGCTGGAAAAGGCCTTGGGAACCCACCCCTTACACCAGCGTGCCCTGGATGTGGGCCATCCAGTCAAAGATTATTTTAGAGCTTTAAGATATAATATCTACTCATCTGGGTTTCAGACCTGCACAGGGTCTGTAGCCCCTTTCTTTTGGCCAATTTCTCCCTTTTGGAATGGGAATGTTTACTCGGTGCTGGTACCCGCCCCCATTGTATCTTGGCAGTAAATAATTTGTTTTAATTTTACAGGTGTCTAGGTGGAAGGGTATAATGGTTAATGTTAACTGTCAACTTGATTGAAGGATACAAAGTATTGTTTCTGGGTGTATCTGGGTGTTTCTGAGTGTTGCCGGAAGAGGTTAACATTTGCGTCAGTGGAGCAGGAGAGGAAGACTGACCCTCACGAAGACCTACCCACGGTGTGGGTAGGCACCATCCAATCAGCTGCCAGCACAGGCAGCTGAAAAAGCAGGCAGGAGGTAGAAGAAGCTGACTTGCTGAGTCTTCTGGCCTTCATCTTTCTCCTGTGCTCAATGCTTCCTGCCCTAGAACATCAGACTCCAAATTCTTTGGCATTTAGGCTCTTGGACTTGACACCAGTGTTTTGCCAGGGGCTCTTGGGCCTTTAGCCATACACGGAAGGCTGCACTGTCGGCTTCCCTCCTTTTGAGGTTTTGGGATTCAGACTGAGTCACTACTGGTTTCCTTATTTCTCAACTAGCAGACGGTCTATCATTTGACTTTACCTTGTGATCATGTGAGTCAATTCTCCTTAATAAACTCCCTTTCATATATACACATATCATATTAGTTCTATCCCTCTAAAGAACTCTAATACAAAGGGACATGACTTGTCTCACGTGAGATTTTGTACTTTTCAATGATGCTGAAATGAGGTAAGACTTTTGGGGAACTACTGGCAGGGGATGATTGTATTTTGCAACATGAAAAGAACATGACATTTGAGGGGCCAGAGGTAGAGTAATATAGTTTGGATGTTGTCCCCTCTAAATCTCATGTTGAAATGTAACTCCCAATGTTGGACATGGGCCTGGTGGGAGGTGTCTAGGTCACGGGAATGGATCCCTATGGCTTCGTGCTGCCCTCATGATAGCAAGTTCTTGTACGACCTGGCTGTTGTTTTTTTTTTTTTTGAGACAGAGTTTCGCTCTTGTTACCCAGGCTGGAGTGCAATGGCGCGATCTCGGCTCACCGCAACCTCCGCCTCCTGGGTTCAGGCAATTCTCCTGCCTCAGCCTCCTGAGTAGCTGGGATTACAGGCACGCGCCACCATGCCCAGCTGATTTTTTGTATTTTTAGTAGAGACGGGGTTTCACCATCTTGACCAGGATGGTCTCGATCTCTTGACCTCGTGATCCACCCGCCTCGGCCTCCCAAAGTGCTGGGATTACAGGCTTGAGCCACCGCGCCCGGCCCTCTGGCTGTTTTAAAGTGTGTGGCGCCCCCTACCCCATACCCCTCTCTTGTTCCCGCTATCATCATGTGATGTGCAAGCTCTGACTCTGCTACCTACCAAGAGTAAAAGCTCCCTGAGGCCCTCACCAGAAGCAGATACCAGCACCACACTTCTTACATGGTCAGCAAAACTATAAGCCAATTAAATCTCTTTTCTCTATAAATTATCCAGTCTCAGGTATTTCTTTATAGCAATGCCAGAATGGCTTAACACAGAGTCTCACTATGTTACCCAGGTGGGCCTTAAACTCCTGGGCTAAAATGATACTCCACCTCAGGCTCCCAATAGCTGGGACTACAGCTGCACACCACTGTGCCCAGCTTGTATGCAGATTTTTTTGCTTCACCTTCTTTCAATTCTTTCCTTGCCAAGCCTCTCTCCCTCAAGTCCCAAGTCTATTGACTGCTCTGAAGTCTGACTGCTATCTCCTCAATCCACCAAAACCACCACTTGTGATCCATACTCCCACACCACAAATACCCTCCGGCAAAAGCCCAGGTAAAGGTAGAGCCTCCCTTCTTTCAGGAATTGTAGGCACTCAAGCAATGCCCACATTGGTTACTGTCCAGTTCCTTCAATAGCTACTTTATATATTTTTGGCAGCTTTAGTAGCCAATTTTGGTAAGGTTAGTCCACTATGAACTACTCAATCATGGAAAAAAACCCAGAAGTCACCAGGTTATTTAAAAATGTGTCCAATAATCCTAACACCAAATTATCCTGTAGATATATTTCTAGTGCTTATTGTTTCTGCTAGTTTTCATTCATTTTGTCTTTCTCTTTGTGTGCCTGGTAATTGTAAATTATTTACCACACACTGTATTTGAGAGATTGTTTGTAGACATTATGTAACATCTAGGATGGTGTAATCTTTCTTCAAAGATGTATTTCATTTTCATTATTTGTTTCTTCCAAGTAAGTAAGGTCAAAGCACTTAAAACAGTGCCTGGCACATGGCAAATAGTTAATTCATATTTTTGTATGTCTGTTTGCCCCACCCAGAATAAGAGTACATCAACTTTTATATTCTTAATATTGAAATGTTTGGTTCATAGTCAATACATTAAAAATAGCTGCTCCATAAATGACTTAGGGAGCTGAAAATGAGGTAAGCCATATGTGTGTTATGCATGTGTGAAGTGCACACATAAACATACAAAATCACTAATACTTTTATGAAGATATAATCTTGTATAGAGTTTCTAAAAGAATTGTATAAATCTAGCAGTTACCTTCAGGTGGTCTTGGTGAGATTTGCTTTGGGGTACTTTCTACATTTTCATTTTCTGTCGCAAGAGTTTCTAGAAAAAAGGAAAAAAAAATGGAAGACTTTGGATACTTGTAAATTCATTTGAGGGTTTATGACTTCAATATAATTGTTCATCATTTAATGGATTGCAATTATCCATGAAAATGTATTCATGAAAGCATCTATCAGTATTGGCATTGTACTCTGGAGTTCATCTAGATCACCTTTTGAATGATTGTGTATTCTCACTGTTTCTTTATATTAGCTTTTCTGATCCTTTGAATTCCCTTATTGGTTCCCATCATCACCATCTGAATGGATTGCCCAGTTTGGTCTTGGCAGATCTGCAAGGTCAGGACTTTGGTTATTGCCCTATGGCTCAAGTATTACATGTATAGATACAAGGTGATTCCATCTTCCCACCCTGAAAACCCAAAGAGGGAGGGGTAGCTTGAATGCCTTCTCTCCCCTTTGCTCTACTTGACTCTAATTATACCACATTCAGATTGTATTTACCTATCACAGACTGTCTTTGAGGTTTTCTTGGCAAAGTTGGTGTTGGCAAGGAAATAAAACCTGGAAATTCAGTAACTCTTAGTGCCAATGTAGCAGTTGGTTTAAACTGTTCAGACTGTTCTTCTGGCTTTGTAGTAGATACAGTCCGAGGTGGAGGGCTTGGCACTGTTGCTCTTAAATCTCTCGGAGTATGCCGATAAGTATAGCCTGGACTCTTTGGTAAAGGTTGATACTTAGGGTGCACTTTCTCCAATTTGTGAGTGATAACTGGGCCAGGAATACTTTTAGGTTTGGAGAACTCTGAAGAAAGAACTAAAATGTTTTCTAGCCTTTTTTCAGTATAAACATCTTTCATAGTTTTCAACTTTCTTGAACTTTCCATTTTGTTTGTTTTTTTCCCAAAAACTCGAGTAGAAGCTGAAGGACAACTTGGAAAAAATACGGAACCAGTAGCAGTATCTGGAATCTTCCAGCAGACACGCTTAGTAGATTTTTGGGGTGATAAAATTGTAGTTACTCTTTCTTGTACAGAATGCTCAAGAAAGATATTTTGGATGATAGGTGTTACTGATTGATTTCTTAAAACATCAGAAGAATGAGTTTTATCTGTTTTAATGGTTTCATCTTCAGTGAATGCTACATGCAGTGGTTCAGTTTTACCAGTTTTGGCTAAACCAAAAGAAAAAAAGAAAAATTAAATTATATTTATCAGTTTGTCACAGACGAAATATCTTAGCATTCATAACTTTCTTTACTCACCCATTTCTCATCTTCTAAAAATGTTTCTGTATACACTTGCTCAGCTATCAGGATGTGTGTTCAGATGTCTGGTACAAAGTTTGAGTGAGGAACTGGAGAAGTGAAAAGTCTAAACTGTATTAGATTTTTAAAGGATCAAGAATTATTCTTGGAAGATCAGAATTGGTAGAGAGAAGCGGGGGATATAAGGAGAGAATTTTGAGAGGTTATCACTAAAACTCTGGCAATAGGTATGAATAAAATATTTTCGATGAAGTTTTGCTATTTATCATACATCGTTTGAAATACATACATCCCTCATTTGAAATTTCCCCGATCAAAAATTTACATTTCTTTTACATGCCAGACATCAGATCAATGTGTCTTTTGAACCTGATAACATTCTGATAGTGGCCACAGGTGCCATAAACTTATTTAGGTTACAACAATAAGTATTCTTTTCTATCTTACATTCAGGAAATGCACTGAGCCTGCATTCTTAGGCAGGAATCATACATGCCTTTTCTTTCCTAGGCAACAGAATGTGAAATGACATTTTTCTGTTCTCTCAGCTGAATGCAATAAATGATGAGAATGTGTACATTCAAATGAGGAGATAATAGATTCATTAAGGCAAAATTTGCAAAGGGGTGGCCAAAAAAAGTGTTTCAACACTTCACCCTTTACCCACCTGTTGTCTATGTATGGGAAGGCTGGAGACTGATCTGAGTGCAGAGTGAGTATTTCTTCTGAATAGAGCTACTGGAGTTCTATGCATTTCCCTGATTTTTCCCTCCCCATGGAGGGTGGAGGAGGGATGATGTCCCTTATCTCAAACCAAGGAAGAGGGACTTTTTATAGAGAATAGGAATATATACAAAAAGGAGAAAGTAACATCTCACTCTTCCCAATACTGCAAAATCTATTGGTTTACCCAGTGCTGTTTCCTGATCAGAGTAATATAAGAGAATCTCTTTAACTATTTGACTTGTATTTCCTGATATTTCCATGGGGTACAAGACTGATGCTGATCCTCACTTTAATTCTTAACTCTTTAACAACTTAACTCTTCCCCACACCTTGCCCCACTTATGGAGGAGCCAAAAACTATAATATGAATTGAAAAAGAGAGTAGGGCCAGGCACAGTAGTTCATGCCTATAATTCTAGCACTTTGGGATGCTGAGGCAGGAGGATCGCTTGAGGCTAGGAGTTCAAGATCAGCCTGAGCAACACAGCAAGACTCCTATGTCTACCCCTCAAAGAGTTAGCCAAGTATGGCAGCATGCTCCTGTAGTCCCAGATACTCAGAAGGCTGAGGTAGGAGAGTACCATGAGCCCAGGAGACAGGCTGCAGTAAGCCATGATTACACTACTGCATTCCAGCCTGGGTGATGGAGCGAGACCCTGTCTTTAAAAAAAAAACAGAAAGAAAAGAAAAGAAAAGAAAAGAAAAAAAGAAAAGGAAAGGAAAGGAAAAGAAAGGAAAGGAAAGGAAAGGAAAAAGGAAAGGAAAGGAAAAGGAAAGGGAAAGGGAAAGGAAAGGAAAGGAAAAGAAAGAAAGAAAGAAAGAAAAGAAAAAGAACTAAAGAATAGAAAAAGAGAGTAAAAGAATAGGGTGGAAGAACTGATCAGGACCTTCTTCTTTCCCTCGGCTGGTGTAATAATTAGCAGGACCAGGTTGAGGTGGGAGAAGGAACATAGCTTGATTGTATACTAAATGGAAGTACTAATTTAGATGAAATAAGTTATTTAATATCTGACAATGAGAAGGAGTTAATTGACAAAACTGACTAGGAAAGCTTTTAGAGAGATACATGTGCCACATGGGTTGGAAGGGCAGTAGTAAGAAAATAATGTTTGCTTCCCACTTAAACTAATCAAATCTAACTGATTCAATAAAACAGTTACACCAATATCTTTAAGTTCATTTTCTCTCTATTAAAACAAAACCCATTAACACAGTGAACACTTCAATAGGCTCCAGAACTCCTTCCAACTACTACCATCTCACCATATTTATCCTTCCCTTTAATGGCAAACTGGAGTAATTTATACTCATTAGTTTAATTTCCTCTCCCACCAACAGAACAGTCTCTGTACTCAGGCTCACACATAGAGAACAGGACAACTCCTCCTTGTCCACACACCCACTTCTGCTACTGCTGCTGAAGGCTGGGTCAGGTGACCCAGAGCTGCCTGTCTGAGACTCAACCCCACAGTGTGACATGCCTACATGCCTGGGATCTGGTGTGAAAGCAAGTCCTTCCTCCCTGCCACATGGCACTGTGGCACTGCTGCTGCAGAGAGCAGAAGAGCCTGAGAGCGGCATGTCTGGAGCTGTGGGTGGTGACCGGTAGCACAGATACCACCACTGCTAGCCCATACCATGCAGGACCCAGAGGATCATTTCAACACCACTACTGCCATGACCCATAGCACACTGGTTTCCCAGTGACATGAGAACCTGTTCAGTCACCTAGCCCACTGCTGCCACTACCAGCATCCATGCAAGCTACCTAAGGCCCAGGAACTGGCCTACCAATAACCGCCAACACAGGTGCCAGCATACACCACTCTGGGGAGCAAAGGTAAGTAGACTCACCCTACTCTTGCTACCCTTGGGGCCTGAAGACTAGCCCACCTGGCTCCCCAGTCCCCAGCACAACTTCACCACAGCCTTCACTAATAATTGCATCCTAATCCTCTAAGGAAATGACAGAAAGCACTAATGCTATTTACAGAAGAAAAAAAAAAAAAAAAAAAAAACAGAGACTACACTACTACATGCACCCAGAATAAAAGCCAAAGTGCCCTACTCAACCAACACCACAGATATATCTTCAGAAAAGTCCTACCCTACGGAAGTGAATTCAAAAATAGGAAGATGCAACTGTTACACCAGATACACAGATATCAACATAAAGACATAGAAAACATCAAAATACAAGGAAATATAAAACCTCCAAAGGAAAACAATAATTCTCCAGCAATAGATCTTAATCAAAAAGAAGTTGCTGAAATCCAAGATAAATAATTCAAAATTTCAATTTTAAAGAAGCTTAGTTAGATACAAGAGAATTCTGGAAAACAATACAAAGAATTCAGAAGGATTCAGGATATAAATGAGAAATCTACCAAAGAGCTAGACAGATATTTTTAAGAATGAATCCAATAGAAATTCTGGAGCTGAAGAATTAATTGAAGAAAATATAAAATATATTTGAAAGCTTCAGTAATAGACTAGATCGTGTAGAAGAAAGAATCTCAGAACTTGAAGACACATCTTTTGAAATAATCCAGTGAGACAAAAATAAAGAAAAAGAACCTAAAAAATCCACAAAGGCTTTGTGATATTTGGGACAACATAATGTGATCAAATATTCAAATTATTTGCATCCCAGGAGCAAAGAGACAAAGGAAGGACTATAAAACCTATGAAATTAAATAATAGAAGAAAAGTTCCCAAGTCTAGCAAGAATGTTAGATTCACATTCAGTTACAGGAGCTTCAGCAATCCATAGGCAAATACAATGCAAAAATATCTCCCCATGGCACATTATAGTGAGACTGCCTAAAGTCAAAGATAAAAAGCATATCCTTTTAAAATCAAGAGAAAAGCATCTAGTCACCAATAAAGAAACCCCCATCAGACTAACAATGGATTTCTTAGCAGAAACTTCACTCACTAGAAGAGAATGACATAATATAATTAAAATGCTGAAATTAAAAAAAAGAAAAAACTGTCAGCCAAGAAGAGTCTATCCAGCAAAGTCATCCTTCATAGATGGAAGAAAAATAAAGTCTTTCCCAGACAAGCAAATGCTAGGGGAATTTGTTATAACCAAGAGTGACCCTATGAGAAATGCTCCATGGAAGAGAATAGAGAACCCAGAAATAAAGTCACATACTTACAGCCTGTCAGCTCTTTGACAATGCCAACAAGAATTGACACTGGGGAAAGGACACCTTCTTTAATAAATGGTGTTAGGAAAATTGAACAGCCATATGCAAAAGAATGAAACTGGATCCCTATCTCTTACCATATATAAAAATCAACTCAAAATTGATTATAGAGTTAAGTAAGACCCAAAACTATAAAAATATTACAAAAAAAAACTAGATAAAACTCTTCTGGACAAGGGTCTAGGAAAATAATTTAAGACTAAGACCTTGTAGAGTGGGAGATAATATTTGCAAACTATCCATACAACAAGGGACTAACATCTAGAATAAAAGGACCTCAAACAATAGGGGAAAAAAAAAAAACAGACCAGTCTTGGTGGTTCACACCTGTAATCCCAGTACATTGGGAGGCCGAGGCAGGTGGATCACAACGAGGTCAGAAGTTCGAGAGCAGCCTGACCAACATGGTGAAACCCTGTCTCTATTAAAAATACAAAAATTAGCCGGTCACAGTGGCTCATGCCTGTAATCCCAGCACTTTGGGAGGCCGAGGCGGGTGGATCACGAGGTCAAGAGCTCGAGACCATCCTGGTCAACATGGTGAAAACCCGTCTCTAATAAAAATACAAAAATTAGCTGGGCATGGTGGCGCGTGCCTGTAATCCCAGCTACTCGGGAGGCTGAGGCAGGAGAATTGCCTG